AGATAGATAGATAGATAGATAGATATTGTTTATGCGTTCTTATAGATACAGATATTTAAGTAATAGCTCTGTTTATAATAAACCTTATTAACAACATTTACTGACCTGAATGTCCGAGAAATCACCAAGAAAATATGTGTCCTCCAAGAGGAAGGTTCATATTTGTCGGACTTGGTTCATTTTATCATATATATATATATATATATATATATATATATATATATATATATAGATAATAATGAAACAAAGTGAAAAATCTTTTGAACGTCTCGTTTTACCTACGACGCGTGTTAAGTTTTCGGCGTGTTCACGTTAGAATAAAAGGTAAAATTGGGATATTTGAGGGTAAAATCCGAACTGACAGATACCAATGACACTAATATATATATATATATATATATATATATATATACAGTGTAACCCGGATATAAGAGAGTTGTCGGGACCGGAGAAGAAGTCTCTTATATCCGGGTTTGGTCTATTTTATATACATTAACACAGGCTCTAATTTGGCACCAGAGAAAATCTCTCTTATATCCGGGTCTCTTATATCCGGGTTACACTGCATGTATATATATATATATATATATATATATATATGTGTGTGTGTGTGTTTCTTTATACGTTATTTTTATACATACAATTATTTAATGTATCAGGGATAGAGCGTATATAAATATAAATATAAAAGTGGATATTGAGTTCAACACCCACCGGCAACAGATTGCTTTATGCTTCAAGGCAACCGCCAGGCCATGTGCGTTGTTTTACCGCCCATCCAATAATCGTTACCACAATAGACCTTCCCATAATGCATTAATGGCCAACGTATATAAATAATCGATCTAAAACACACTGCACATAGACTGACGATTCCGTTTAATCATGAAACAGATTGTCTCCGCTATTTCATATATATATATATATATATATATATATATATATATATATATATATATATATAAGGAAAGAGGTTATAGTAGTTCCAATGAGAGAAAAGTGAGTAAAATAAAAAGAAGAGAGAAACTGCAAACGTCTTTGGTTGTAATGTGGATTTTTAAAAAAATATATTATGCTTTATTTTCCATAATTTTGCTACACGTGTTTCCGGTCTCGTGAACTTCATCAGGCAAAGAGTGGATATTTCCGCGTATTGTTAAAAGAAATTAATTTTTCTTATGTTTTTTGATGTTAAATATTCTCGATATTGGACATTCTCTTTTTTGTATGTTAGTGACCCAAATGTCTTTCTTGAACTGGCAATGAAAGAATTCTACGTGAAGAGTAATAAAACAGTATTTGGCCAGCAGTTTTCTAGTTCATTTTATTCCATATTTCTGACCATTTTCCATTTTTCCGTTAGGTATTATTTCAACAAAACTAAAGAAAAACTAAAACGAGGATTCTAGCGATTACTTGAAGACACCAAAAAGCGATATTTGAAAATTAAACAATATAACGTAAAAAATATATAAACTTGTCCATAATGGTTTTTGAAAGCCGAATTTACTCAAACAATGGACGATTAATATTTAAATAAGTAATTTTAAAAAAAAGTATTGGATTTTATTTTTAGTCCAACATTTTTGTTTCTTCAAACGGTATTATAGTGGATAGTCGTATTTGAAATAGACGCAGTTTTTTTGTTTTTTATTTTAGACGTAATACACACTATTTAAAATAAAAATAGAAACAGGACGTCTATTTCAAATACGGCATGCCTTAATAATAACATATTTAAATAAGTAATGGAAACCAAGAAAATCGCCCGAAATATAGAAAAGCATAAATAAATAAATCCCTAATATAAACCAGTCAAAAATTTGTCTGGCAAAAATATTTATTAATAATTTTATTCAATAAGTAAGCGTGTACAAATGACGAGATTCGAAACTGACAACTTTTTATCCATTTCATTGAAACAGACGTTAAATACTTCTATCTTCCCTTCTTTCTGTCTTTCTTCCTTTCTTTGATTCCTTCTTTCTTTCATTCAGCGTCTCTTGATATGTCAGTTCCGTGTTTTCACACGGTCAAAACGGCATAGTCCGTTATTTATTAGATATTGGCATGACGTAAAAGTCGTGAGAAATAAGGAACAAAATAACTAAAGAAAGGAGGAAGAAAAGGAATTATAAGTGATATTTTTCCTTGGTCTTTAACCAAATTCGTATAAATGGGTCATTGTAATGATGATGATGCTGATATACTGTGAATATACATTTAAGAGGTTGTGAAGTCTTTCTTGTAGACGACTTTCTGACAGTCTGATATTTCATGATGCTATTTTTATTTTGGTTTTTAATTAGCTTAAAATATATTGAAGGCTTTGTTTTCGTTGAGGGACTTTTGTCATATTTTTATTATGACAAGTGAATTTAATAAATTGAATTATTTTAAAGAACTTTTCTATTTCTGTCACACCGAAGCTTGTTCACAGATAATAAATAATTGCTTGCCTGAAAAAATGACGTAAACGTAAATGAATCACACATTTTTTTTAAAAAAAAACTTTACAATTCTGTCATACCAGTAATATATAATATCACTAGAAACTTCGCTGTGACCTTTTTTTCAACTTTAACTAGGTGTTATGGTGTGACCTTTTTTTGTGTGGAATTTTTTTCCTTTTAGATAGAGGTTTCTCTTTGTGGTTCGAATATTCTTCATCGCCAGTTGTTATGGTGTAGAACCATAGAAAGATAACACGGACTCGGATATAAGGTTAAATAGTATATTCTGGGAAACGTAGTTCAAAGGTAAATGTGGACTGGAGAGTACTTTCACTCACTCGGTGTCCTGACTCACTCATTCACTCACTCGGTGTCTCTACTCGCTGACTTTCTCTACTCAGAGTTGGTAGCCATATTATATACATGTGGAAGAGTCAATTTGTAGGTAGGTCCCCACAATACTTGGTCAACTAAATAATCTGGTAAATAAAGAGCTGGATTATGAATTCAGTGACACAGTGAATATGACTTCAGTCCCTGGCCGGGGAGTACAGATTTACACTCAGTGGAAACCGGGTGAGCAATAACTATGCAATATTAAAAAGAAGATGGCTGAAATTGGCTGACTGTCTCCCCGATCGGCAGGCATTTGAAGAAAGCAGAAGAGATAAAATATCCGGATCGATGTGACCCTAATGGTTGACTGATTTTATTTTGTACGGCTTATCAACCGTTTGTGGGTTATTTAAAGCCGACACATTGTAAGAGGTCGTTTACAGTAGCCGGTGTTTTCAAGAAGTTTCCCCATCTAAGTGCTGACGGGGATCGGCATTGTTTAACTTCGACGATCGAACGAGAACCGTTTTTTTCAGAGCGATTTGACCGTAGAGACAAAGATGAACATCTTTATCAGGATGAAAATAATAATAGTTCCTCCTCCCTTAAATGTACAAAGATATCAATGAAATAGTTTTTTTTTATTAAATAAAAATTAATTTAAATTTTCTGAAAGAAATCTGTCCTTAAAACAATCATTAAAACGTCATATTCAGTAAGATTCAGTAAGCTTATGACACAAGGCCACAGTTACTGAAAATTCGAGTAAGTATCGCATTCTTTTTGTATCATTTAAGAGGTTACAAACAGACAAAGGTGGTACTCCCGTGAAGGAACAGAAACGTGCGCATAGATGAAATAAGAAGGGTTTATTGTAAACAGAGTACATTACAGAAAGACAGGGGATCGGGTGGCAGGCTAGTAATTCCAAAAGCAAGGATATCTACCAACCGCCCCACGCGGTCAGATGTAGCATAAGGCCGAAATTAATGTTGGGTATCAGAGCCCGTAGGCTCGGCCAAAAATTTCCCGTATAAAACGTAGCTGTTTCCTGAGACTCTGCCCTTCGACATAGCCTCGCCTGGGGACCCTGTCTGAATTTAACGTGGGGTCTCCGAACCAGCCAAAAATTCCCCGTAGACCCCATATAAAACGGGGTCGGTTAGCTTTTTCCGAGACGAAACTCTTCCCTTCGGCATAGCCTCGTTTGGGTTCCTCTCTGCCCGAAAGCAGAGAGTTCGACCAGCACAGCTGGAGACGAATCATCAACTAATTACCGAAGTAAGGTTATTTACCTTACTTCCATGCGAGGAAGCATGTGGCACAAGGCCGATTTTAATGCGGAGTCATTACTGAGCACGTAGACTCGGCAAAAATTCCTCGTATACATGTGGTCGGTAGCTGTCTACCACCCCAGACGATACTTTGCCCTTTGACATAGCCTCGTCTGTGTTCCTCTCTACCAGAAGGCAGAGAGTTCGACCAGCACCAGAGACGAATCTCCAACTAATTGGCGAAGCCACCCCACAGATATATCCTGTGCTCACTACATGTAGGTACTGATATAGTCAGTCCACATAGGCGATTGGGAATGTGGGACATTGCATTACGACAATTCTCTCCAGCATTGAGAATCTTCTCAAAAATTTCTCAATACCGCGACATCCATATTCACAAAGATTAGAAACGTTTGACAAAAAAAAAACACAATTAAGCGCTGATTCCTACAGCAAAAGTCAACAGCTTGTAATATTCATATTACAACCATTATGTGGCGCGCCCCTTCATGACGTAGGCGATTTGGATCTTCACCTCTTCCCTTTATAGTTCTTAGTAAAGTTTGTCTTTTCACCATCCTTCAAACTCCTTGTTCTGCCAGCTATTTACGAAAACATGTTTGGCAGGTTACTCAACGTTTCCCTCTGTCTTGTCTTCAAAATGCCATAGATTTGTTTAGCGGCATGTCAACACCTCCATGGTTCATTTAAATCCGAATATTTTGTACTTTATTTTATTTCGAGAGATAGTAATGGTTTTGATATAAGTCCTACTAATTAAACCATAGATGGGGTACGCGGAGAACAGATTGATGAATACCTTTCCCAAGATATATGCTCGCAAGTGAATATAACGAATCGAAATGGAATTGAAACTCTCCTCTCCGATTTACAATTCCGAGCTATCATCCATTACACCACCCGCACATTCAAGCTTACAGCATCTGGTATTCCCAAGCAGTCACCCATCTATATACTGACCAGTCTCGATGTTGCTTAACTTCGGTGATCGTCCGGGTACTGGTGTTTCAACGTGACGTGGCCGTAAGCAAAATGTGATGTAAATGTCATTCACCAAGCTCTCATTTCTCATTGTGTGTCCGAAAAATGTCAATTGTCTCTTTTTCCTTAAAGTTCATTCGATGATAGTCTCAGCATCCTTCTGTAGGACCACATTTCAATTGTTTCAAGTGTCTTTTTCATCTGTGAGGAGATTTTCCAGCAATTTCTCTGCCACATTGGAGAAAATAACGTTAAGAATTCTTTTCTTTGTTTCTAATGAAAACTTCTTGTGTCTTAATTCTTTGCTTAGCGTTTGGAAATATTTTTTCACTCTTTGGATTTCGGAAAATCACTTTCCAGATCTGTAATTTCATAATTTTGGAATTTCTAGTCGGAGGTTTGCATCGAGAGATGTTCCTCTTGCTGAAAACCATTTATTCTGTCTTTTTTTCAATTGATGTTCAATATTTCCTTCTGGCTTTCTTACAGGTTGACGGTCATATGCTGAAAACACCGTCGATTCTGATGACAGCTTGGGAGAACTAGGTGCTTTAAGGTTGGATGTGCGGGTGGGGTAATGAATAACTGCTCGGAATTATAAATCGGAGAAAAGAGTTCCAGTTCCAATCGGTTTCATTATATTCACTTAGGCGCAAGTAACGTTCGGAAAGGTAGAAATCCACCACTTCTCCCCCTGATATGGGTTAACTAGTATGAATTGTATCAGTAGATCATTATTATTATGTTCAAAAATTGCTTGCAATCTAAAAATATTTTCTGGCTTTAAATAACCTGCAAAGAGTTGATAAGCCGTAAAAAGTTGATCAAACAATTAATTTCTTTTACTACCTTCTGTAAAGGTTCTTAAATGTTTAATTTTTGTGTCTGCTGTCGACACTATCATCTTTTGTTGTTAATATTGTGTCCTTAGTATGAAGCAGACTTTTGACTTCAATGGCCACTTTATATATATATATATATATATATGTATATATATATATATATATATATATATATATATATATATATATGTATATATATATATATATAGAGAGAGAGAGAGAGAGATATGGTATCCACATAAAAAAAGAAAAAAATCCCCCCCGTAAACAATTTAAATAGAGCTCACACCATTGTGATTGGTTGTTGGTCAACTTCCAATCAAATACGTGATAGCGGGTTATGGCTTGCCTAATATAAGTCAGTGTCTGCAGGCTGTTAATTTTGAAAGGTGGTTCTGAGACTGACCAGCTCTGATGGGGTCGACTTTGTGAGGGCAGTATGATGTTTAAAAGAACCGAAACTGCCCAATTATGTAAATAAGAACATCACTGACGACGGCCTCTAGTGTTAAAGAGCGTATATTCAAAGTATACCGGGTGTAACAGCAAAATTGTCCAAATCGTGTAACAACATAGAATAATTATCCATCCTGCAAAATTTTTAATATTTGAAAAAACTAAACTAATTGAGTATCTTTTTCCAGGTTTTCAGATAAGACGCTTAGCCATCTTGATACTATATGTCGTAAGAATCACTGAAAACCCTATTGATTATTTCAGCTAGAAAGAGAACAGGTTAAAAACATTTTATGTCAATACATCTTTGTCTTCCCAACTGACCAATGGTCAGTGAAAGAAGGTCATTCAGGTCTTGAGTAATGATACCAACATTCATATTCTGGTTTCCATCTTCAATCTCCATTCAAGAACCTTCGAGAAAACGGTGAATAAGTTTAAAAAAGAGGGAACAATAGAGAGAAAAACCGGATCAGGAGGTCCCAACAGCAAGACGGATCATCATTTCATCTTAGAGCTAAATACATTCTTATTGTTCAAAGTAGAGTCCAATAGTGTTATAGAAACTTCAGAGAGTTCCAATAAGATATCTTTAATCATTTCTAAGATACAACAGTTCAAAGCTTAATCTAACAATTGGACAATCTTGTTGCTACACGATTTGGACAATTTTGCTGTTACACTCGGTAAATATATATATATATATATATATATATATATATGAAATGGGTTAAATCCAACATTTTACAGTTATTTGTTTAAACGATATTTTTAATGGATACTCACATTTGAGTAGATGCTCTGTTTAATAAATAACAGTATATTTATTTGTCTCTGCCAGCCTGAATATTTGAGAAATTTTGTTAGAAATAATTGCACCCTCCGGCAGGATACGAATCTCCCTCCCCTAAGGGAAACCGTCATTAGATCTGACACGCCTTGGCCTTTCGTCCACGTAGAACCTGCTGATCAAAGAAAGACCGAACCTGAGTGAGCATATTTCCATTATTTATTTATTCTAATGTAGTTGCAGTTCACACTACATAGAAAGAACCAATCAAAGGCCGGATCTTAGGATTAAACAACACGTGCCTATAAATAGTCGTATCTCCAACTATTTACCTTCAGATGTTCTGACTAACACATACGGGCTACGGAACATAAATACCAGCAATTGTGTTACTAATTTCAGTATGGACTCATTTTTCCATCTTAAGTAAGTCACACTCCAATTACCACTTAAAAATGCTAGAATCCATGTATATTCAATCCATGCCGCCTTCTCTTTGTTACCAGAATGATTCTTTTTCTTTTGTCTTTCTCGTTCTATTTTATTGATGATTTATACTTATATATTAACCTCGATTTAGTTATTTTGAACGAGGTTCGAAACCGGTTGCTTACCCCTTTTTTCATTTCTTTTTCTTTTCATGCCCCTCATGAACTTTATTTAAAAAACAAAAAACAGTTGGGTCTCTTCCTGACAGTTAGAAAATATTGTACCACTAATTAAATTTTGAAATATTTTAAGACTAGCTATAAGCCTGATTTAATCAGCAGATTAAATTCCTTATTACGAATTAAAAGTAAAATTAGAGCTGTTGTGGCTAATAAGTCTTTTTTTCCATTCGTGTTTCTTTCGAATTAAAAGGACCAATTTATATTCAGGACTTAGAAGCTTTTATCTTCAATTTGTTTTTTTATTGAAACTTTCTTATGATCTTAGACGATTCAATGAGAGATATCCTCAATTATGGAATGATACTATAGTCTTGCTTTCTTTTTTTGATAGGATATGTTTTATCCGGTGTGCTGCACTTGTTCATGAACTTGGTCGTTCTAGGCTTGCGCCTAAACATCTGCATAAATTGCAGCATTTAACCTATAAAATATTCGGTTCTTCCTCAAATCCTGATATTGGTCAGAATATCCTGAATCTTTCTTCCTTTCAGTTGTCCACACTTGAGCCTTCCAATCCTTTGGAATGGACTGGATTTTTGCATTTCTCCTACATTTACCAAACGAAAAAATTTAGTCTTCTTTGCTCAGTTAGCTAGACTTCAGCCTTAATCTGTTATGTTAATAAGTTTAGTGATCTGAAGGCGAAATTAAATGATTTAGCACATTCCTACACAGGTACTTCCATTTCCCATTGGAAATCAAAGTGGAACGGTGAACAATATCTTATTAAATCACTTCGTCTTAATAATTCTTTGGTTATTACAAAACTGGATGAAGCCTTAGGACTCGTTATTCTTGACTATCAAGATTATGTTAATGAAATGATGACTATCCTAGAGGATAGCTCCAAATTGGTTCAGCTAGACTCAGTAGATAAATACTGTCCTGGGTATGATGATAACCTACATCCGCGTCCAGGGTAAGACGGTAAGCTACATCTGCGTCCTGGGTAAGACGATAAACTACACCCACATCCAGGGTAAGACGATAAACTACATCTGCGTCCTGGGTAAGACGATAAACTACACCCACATCCTGGGTATGACGATAGACTACATCCGCGTTCTGGGCAAGACGATAAACTACATCCGCGTCCTGGGTAAGACGATAAATCATGTCCAACAGCAAAACTTCTGATCAGGAGGTTTTAAGGAGAGTGAAACTACCTCTATTGCTGGTGTTCCAGGTCCACCCTGGCCCGGGGTGTTAACACCTGTTAGAGTCCCAACTATGGGCAAATAGTTAACCCCAAAACTGGGGTCAAAACACTATAAAAGTGTAAAAATAAGTCTTAATACCAGAAATAATTTCTAGAAAAGTCATTACCAGCAATATATTACTATCAGCAATACATTTTAGGTAAAATAAAATTTTACAAGCAATACTTTTTCGAAAAAAAATATCAGAAATAGATTTTTTGAACGAAAAATATTACTAGCAACACATGTTTGAAAAAAAAATATTACCAGCAATAATAATTCTCGGCATTAAGTAGCCCATCGGGGTTGATATGCCGTAAAAAAAAAAAACTAAACCAGTAGATAAATATGAATCTACCTTAGCTATTGAGGCTAAGTTCTAAACATCCCTACTTAAGTGCGTTAAAAGTGGTGTCCCACTCGCTGATATTTCTAACCAGATTAGACTCTACGGTTCGATTTCCGTCTCTATGGTTTCCCTAAAACCCATAAAGTTGAAGTTCCACTGACACTTATCTTGTCCATGATGGGGTCATTACAGCATAATGTAGCTAAATGGCTTGTCACTACATTAAAACACGTTTTAAAACCTTCTAGTTCTTTCTGTATTAAAGATTCTTCTGAATTATATGCAAAACACTTCTTTGACTGACAAATTCATGTGTTTTTGTTTTTTATATATCGAAGCTTTTTACTTGCTTTCCTCTTCCTGAGACAAAATCGATATGTGCCGATGTGTCTTGTATCGAAGATCAACTGAACCCGTCCTTCTATTTCAGGGGATTTTTTTGTTAAACTGATGAAACTTGTTACGATGTCTCTCTTGAATTCAGTTTTGATGGCATCATGTACAGGCAAATTGATGGAGTCTCAATGGGTTCCCCTTTGGAATCCATTTTGGGTAACATCTTTGTGGGCTTCCATGAGAGTTTCTTGTTGGGTTTTAATAAATCCGAGGTTTATTTTCGTTGCGTAGACGACACTGTCTCTTTAACGATGAGAATGAAGCGGGCATTTTATATACGTCCCTTAATAATATTCATCCGGCCCTTAAGTTTACACTGGACAAGGAAATTAATTCTTCTCTT